TTCAAAACGTGTGGTTTTGTGGTGGTAAAGAGAGTGTTAAAAATGCGGGACTGTTCAATAATTTGCGAGATACGAAGTCAGGGCATTAAAATCGAGACAGTGTGTACTCAAGCCACAAATCAGGGCTTGCAGTGTTTATACAATCCACGAGATTATTTCGCGAGCGATAATCCAGAAGTTATCCAAGTGTGGTGCATATCGAAGAACAATTTTGTTGGATCTCAATGCTCAAGCACTTGTGATAGTTCGGTCCTGGGACGGGGCTAATTTTCCTAACGTCTCTCAGGGTTTTTGTGATGAGGTCCATGTATAGTCACATTAATATCATGGCGACATTTGGTTATAGCATTCTAGCGTAGACGCTGCTAAGCGCCAATGGTTGCCACATAGCGCCTACTAGTGATAGGATCGGGAGGAAATTAAAGAGGGCAGATATAGAGAGAGAGTTTTTTAATGTCCATTAGGTTGCGCCTGCCAGGGCTATGTGCCAAGCGTCTGCTCGGTCAATGTTGGGTTGGCACCACCGTTTTGTGGGCCGCCAGTAAAAAGGGCTACCACGTCAGCGCCTTGGTAGTTAACTTCGGCGTCAAAAACCAATTGCCTACGTAGTATTTTGTTTCCATCATGTTCACACACGGCCTCTTATGTGGAGTTGTGGCCGCGGGTCGGGCTACGTGATAATGATTTAGCTTCGGCCCACAGAATGGTTTGGAACCGAGGTATTATGGCCATTCTTATGGTGGACTTGCTCTGGTATAAGCGCAGCCAAATCTTTGCTGTGTTGGCTCGGTCCTCAACGGATAAACCGAGGACGCTAAGCCCGGGGCCTAGAGAGCGCCAAGAAGCAGACAAGAGCGCGAGAGGTTGCCATTGATGAGTAAGGTATCGTGCGTGGGATTGAGTTGATGACATGGGAGTATTCAGTTTAAAAGGTTTTCGGGATTATCTATATATAGTCATGCTCTTTCGTACTTTATGGTGACCAATATTCTATCGTGAACTCTCATGTGTAGTTTAATTACGCCAGATTGATGGGGGCTGTTGACGGGGGTTAAGGCATGGTATCTTGTCAGGGTGGAGTGCCTCGATGTTCTCTAGGAGGACTCCTACAGGTTGCATCGCCGAGGACATATTTCGGAGGGAAGTTCCTATTAGGATTGTTTGCACTACTAGGCAGGACCTTCATAAATAAAAGCTACATAATGGTAGGACCTGCGTAGAGCTCGTCTTCTTCCATGAGTTAGTAAGAGAAAGTCCATATTATTGATTCAAGCAAATTCTTCTATTGAATTGCTCCCGAAATTTCCATGGACATCAGATACTTGCTTAGTTCTGTGTGTGTGAATACTTATTTACCGCTGACCTATAGACATCGGAGGGTATTCGGCAGGCGCTACCCGCCGCTAGCTCCCGTTTCTCGGTTGTTTGTGCGTCTTGCAAGGCCGTAGGATAAGCGACCGAGCCGTTTTTGGGCAGCCATTGGCAATTTGCCAATCCTATCGGCCCTCAGACTTTGTCATGCAGGTGAAGAAATGTGCCGTAGTCATACCATTATCTCTAAATTTCTGTTATGTGACTTACGTAAAGCTATTAATGAATTTCATTACTAGTAATATGAGATGTTGATATATATTCGCACCTTGAGAATATCAGGTACCATTGGATTTATCGTCATGATCTTTAATTTAATATTTCTTCTATCTAATTATATTTAGGCCACCCATTTGATAATTTAGCACTGCTATAAATATCATGTGTCTCTTAGAATATATATTATTGCATCTATGTCATGGCTAACTCTTATGATAACTTGGGAGTCTTTGTCTCGAGTTTTTGCCACAATTCTAATCAGAGGATTACAATTTAGACCAATTTATTCATAATCAACCATATCTCTCGGAACTCTTATGATAAATGTGAACTAACAAATATATTGTGGAAGTACATACTGAGAGGGCTGAGGCTCTCTCAGTACGTGTTTGGAAGGTAATAGACTTTAAAAAAAAAGAGTCAAACCACGTTCAGAGAATAGTGTGACATTTCTAATAACAAAAAGTTAAAAAAATTAATACTATTCACCATGAACCGCTCAACAAATTATTAGCGCCTCATTGAAATGCGTCACTCAATGTGCGTCAAATTCCCTATCCATCGCTTTACGAAATCAATTTTTATTCTTATTAATTTTTTCAGTTTAGCACCGCGTTAGTGCAGCATTTCGAGCAACTTTCATTTTCAATCGCAATCGGCCTCTACATTGAGTGTGGCAACATTTTGTCACACTAATATAAAAGGTTAAACTATATAGTACCAAACATTCCACCTAAATTTTCTAACTTTTCTCAATTTATATTTTGTAGATCCAAATAAGAGCACATAAGTTACCAGCATTGCATTAATAGCGTTTCTCTTATCTTTCCCGAGCACTTCTGGGTCTGGACAGCTACACACATTTTAAATGTAATATCACTTAAATATAGCACACTGTGCCATATCATTGTAGAGATACTATTCATATCTACTTCTCTTCAGTGTAAAACCTCCACTTCTTATGTTTGAGTTAAAGAGTGTATAAGTCTTTTGATTTAGAGTTTCTCTTCACCGAGTATATTTTGTTATAAAGAAGATATCATTAAGCAAATATTCATTTTATTTTAGAATTGACCCTTCTAAAACGATTAATAAGCGCATTATGTGGTTATGATAGTCAAAACGGTAGCTACAGCATTTGAAGAATTATATTATTTACATTTTGGCATTATCCATTGGGCCTCGGTTTTTGCAGTTAGACGGCTGTTATAGTTTTTTCTATCTTTTTTTGAGTAGAGACGAGACACAACTTCATTTAAGGAGCTTTTAAGTTCAAATACTTCTTCCATTTAAGTGCAGAGATAACTTCCTTCTTGTTCGAAATCAATCCTGGTATGAACTTTGAGTCGTCAATGTTAGGGTGAATTCAAAAACCACTATAGGCTTAGTAAAGTCTGTGAAATTATCTTTAAATTAAAAGATAAGGCCATATCTAATTAATTGGTCCAATCGCTAATTCATATTCCCTGAGTTTTTTATAGAACCGACATACAAAAAATTAATGTGAGATAGTGCATCCATGATGGTGCATCTAGTTTTGAAGGAAAGATCACGCTTCTCATTACTGAAATATTTCCATTTAATGTTCTTGCTGCCGGAGGTGGGATTGCGGCTTCTTTCAATTGACTCTGCATTTGATAGCTCCACTGGCGTTGTACATCTGGGTAACAACAATCTCATTATTTAAGCGGAAGGCGGGTAATCTATTAAATTGATTTGGAGTGAAATCAACAAAACTTTATGGTAGTGGTATTCCACTATTATAGGACTCAGCACAAAAGTCAATTTATCTCGGTTTGCGGTTGCCTGGTGAGGTAGGGAGCGAGCGTTTGTCTCACAGTTTCTCTGCTCAAGGACATCATCATTTCACATATTATTCCCACCTAGAGCAAATTGAGAGAGTGGTCGGCATCTTCCCAAACATGGTGCTGTCGTCTAGGAGAATCGATCCATTTGTTTCTAGAGCTATCAAACCTGAGCTCATGTTATGAACATTTAAATAAATGTAGTCTCGAGATAATCAAGTAAAAAAATGGTTAAATGCTGTCGACTGCACTCGCACAATTTCTAAGTGAAAGCCGAATATCACTATTGTATTACTCAATCTATTTTCCAAAGATGGTAATTATGCTTAGAAAGCAGTCACTCTACCTCTAAGTGAAGCTAAAATATGTTATCTTACTTACGATTATTCACACCACGATCATAAATTGTATAGAAAAAACAAGAGTAGAGATCGTGTCATCTCCGCCGCGCCTCAGGCAAGGGGAAACAGGTATGCACAAAAACAAACAAAAGGAAGAGATCAAGAGGCCCCGAACAAAAGGCGGTCTCGACCGACAGTGTTCTTGGAATGAGGCACTTACAGAGATGGCACGATTAACATCAAAACGTGTTCAAACAAATCGTTTTGAGGCACAAACATGCCAAAAAACGACGTCATTTTGAACAGTTTTTGAGCCTTTGAGCCACAAAAATTGTGCCTCAAACATTATTCTTAAAAAATTTGAATTAATAAATCTTATTTAGTAAAATGAAAATATTATTAATTTTTCAATTTTTAAAACTAAGAGCATTATCAATTTTGCATAGTAATGTTCAAGATAATTGTTTCTTATTTTACTAACTGATGAAAAAAAAAACAAAGCATGAGATTAAATGTTTTTACCAAATAAAACCGAGAATATTAATAAATTTTTTCAGTTTAAAACTAAGAACATTATCAATTTTTTCATTTTTATTTTTTTTTTTCAATTTTGCACATCAATGTTCCATAATCATGTTCCTTTATAGACACAAAATTTTCAGTTTTGTACAAAAATATTTTAATTTTTTAAATTTTTTTCAAAAAAAAAAAACAATGCTTGGTTTCGGTTTTCTAAAAACACTTTCAAAAAATTCTACTTTCTTATTTTTCGTATTTTTTTGTTTTTATTAAATTTTTTTTAATATTTTAAGCATTTTTTTAAAAAAAAAAATTTAGGCAGACCTAACATAAATACACTTAAAATGTATAATTTTCTGAAAAAAATCTTTAAGAAATTCACTAAATACCAAAAATATAAAAAAATACAAAAAATCAATATGTTTTTCATATTTTTGTGTATTTATTAATTTTTTAAAATATTTTTTCACAAATATTTTGCTTTTTAGATACATCTAAGTAAGGTGCATCTAAAAATGTAAAAAAAAATGTTTAAATTTTTTTAAAATATTTACTAAAAACAAAAAAATACGAAAACCAAAAAAGTTAATTTTAAAAAAATTTAATCCAAAAAATTCAAACCAAACACACTGAATCATTTTATTTTTTTTATTTTTATAAAAATATAAAAATTTATTAATTTCTTTTCTCGGACAACCTTTATAAAGGTTAAAAATAAAGATTATAAGAAAAATAAAACTTCTCCCCGTTTCCCTCTTTCGTCCCCACTTAAATTACCCAAACAATTAAAAAAAATACGTATCTCTTCGTTTCGTTTGATTTTTCATTTCCAAATCACTCAATCCAAAACATAGTGTCAATCAATGGAGTCTTCGTCTTCGTCTTCGTCTTCGTCTTCACGAAGATCGCTGCTACATACGCATACATCTACAACCAGTCCTCAAAGATTTCTATCGAAGCGAATCGAACCAGCAATTCGAGGCAAATCGTGTCCGATATGCTTGAATCACATCGACCATCGCAGAGCAGCGGTGATCACAGCCTGCCTCCATGCCTATTGCGTCGATTGCATTCGCAGATGGAGCGATTTGAAGCGAAACTGTCCTCTCTGCAACGCAGTCTTCGATGCTTGGTTCTCCCAAATCAACCTCTCCTCTCGAACCTTCCTCAAACACAAATTACCAGAAATCAGTGAGGATATTAGGAAGCTCAATGTCGAAGTTTTGCGTAGCAGGCGAAGAGTTCTTGTTGCGGCGCGAAGGTGAGATTCTGGTATTTCTTTTCTTCTGTTTGGTTGATGAGACAATTGGGGGAAATGAAAGGGAATTTTGTAGTTTTTGGTGTAAACCTAGAAAACATGAAGCATATGAGTTAAAATTAGGGTGGAATGGTAAATACCGAAGCTTTATACAACCAGCCATGGATATCCTCTTGCGGAGCAGAGGTGAGGTTCTGATATTTTTGTCTTGTTTGTTTGGTTAGTGGGAAAATTGGGTGAAAGAAAGGAAATTTTGAAGATTTTGGTATAAACCCAAAAACACATGAAGCATAAGAGTCAAAATTGGGATAGAAAGGTAAATAACGAAGCTTGATACAGCCAGCCATGAAGAACCTCTTGCGGAGCAGAGGTGAAGTTTTGATATTTTTGTCCTCTTTGTTTGTTTGGTTGGTGGGAAAATTGGGTGAAAGAAAGGAAATTTTGAAGTTTCTTGTTGTAAACCCGGAAAACCTGAAGCATAAGAATCAAAATTAGGATAGAAAGGTACACAATCAAGTTTTATACAGCAGTCATAGATATCTTTTGAGGAGCAGAGGCAAGGTTCTGTTATTTTTGTCTTGTTTGTTTGGTTGGTGGGAAAATTGAGTGAAAGAAATGAAATATTTCTGTTTGTGTGGTGTAAACCCAGAAAACATAAAATAAAAGGTTTTCAATAGTAATTTTTTTACTAATGAATTTTTAGGTTTTTGAGAGAGGTTTGTGTTTGAGTCTGCGAATTACAGTTGAAATTTAACATGTTCTTAGGGTCCTCAGAAGATTAAGGGAAGAATTTGATTGTGTCAATGGGTGAACGATGACTTTGCCGAGACAAAGATGGTTTGGAAGGTCAGGATCAGAGTCTTCTAATTCTGTTGCTGAGAGAGTTCTTCAGTGGCGTGCTAGGTATTCTCCATATTGTTCTGCTCCCCCCAATTTTTATTTTATTTTAACCTATAGTCAGATTTTGATTTGTCATCTGCAAATATGCTAGTATTGTTTGAACTTTTTTTTATCATTCATGTATTTAGCTAATGGATTCAAAACCACAACTTAATGTCAACTTTGTTACGATTCAGAGTTGTCTTGAGCGGGTATATTCACTAGCCCAAGCTACTGAGATTCAGAGAGAGGACAATGACATAATTCTGTTTGTTTATTTGTTATCCAATTTCTTGAAATAAATCTATATTGCTGTGAAAGTCCATGTGCTTGACAAGACGTAAGGGTTTTAAAGATTTGCACAACCTTCTATCGCCAAAATTATTCCACTTGGTTTTGGCATGAACTCCGGTACATCATCTGCATTTAATTGACAAAAGATTGTTTGTTGCCCAGATAAGAAATTTATTTTTCCAAATTCTTAATTTATGTATGCATGTATTTTTTGTTTTTAAATTTTAAAAACAATTAGCATTTTATTTAGCTTGGATGCATGATGAGTGCTATGTATTGATATTATGAACACATAATTGTCGCATAACACTAAGTATGCAAAACCATACACTGTCCATTGTAAAAAATCTGAGACGTGCCATTTTTTACTTCTTTGCCATTCTTGTGTCTAGTTGGTATGTCTACCCAACACTGTGTCACATGCCATTTTTGCCATTCTTGTGTCTTAGTTGCTATGTTTGCTAGTGTTTCTAGTATTACTGTGTAGGATAATATTTTATGCTTGAACCTAGTTTTACTGTTAGGCTTTGGCTTTGTTGAATTAGGTTGCACTTGATTTCCCAAAAAAAAAAAAAATAAGAAAAGAAAAACACAGCAGGAAACAATGGTGTCAAAGATAGGATACTAAAAAGAATAGAGCCATGGATTCATAGGGAACTGAAAGCTATACTTGGGGATCCAGATCCATCTGTTATTGTGCATGTGGCATCCTCACTCTTTATCTCAGGCCTTGAAGAGAAGCACGAGGCCCCTTCCAAACAATTTGTTCTCGAGGATAACTTTATTGAACCTTTGCGACCTTTTCTGCATGAAAGGACGAATATGTTTTGGCATGAACTCCGGTACATCATCTGCATTTAATTGACAAAAGATTGTTTGTTGCCCAGATAAGAAATTTATTTTTCCAAATTCTTAATTTATGTATGCATGTATTTTTTGTTTTTAAATTTTAAAAACAATTAGCATTTTATTTAGGTGAGAATGATCTATAATTACTTTGTTTCTCAGAATGACAGTTTTCTAATGAACAAAAACTGTATGCCTTTCTTAAGGTGTTTTGCAGAAAGTCCATTCAACATTGAGACATACGACACTGTAGTTGAATATAAAAAATTGTCAGAATAAGTTCAGAAGAGAAATTTCAAAGGCTTTGTTGGCAACTTGGGGGGTCATGTTCTTCAAAAAGATCTATGGCTCCAAAGGATCGTGCAAGCTGTCATTGGAATTGTATCTTCATCTGCCTGTTTGGAGAGATAGTCAATGGTTTTAATGGTCTTAATCCAGCGCATGTCTGCCTGACTTGAAAACAATACACGCAATTTGCACAAACCAAGAAGAATGAGCCAAAGCGGGTGGAGTTGCATCATGTTCATCTGGATTATCCTCAGAATAAGTGAAGAAGACAAGCGAGTAGTTTCCTCATTCAAGATTATCCTTGTTCATCTGGGTGTTTATTCAAATAATAGTACACCCTAATTAGAGATTCTTGTTATCAGTTTCATCCAGTCGCATTTTTATCCAGCTTATATGGTTTGTGATGTCTATACTGGCTAATGGATATTGTGACTGTTAAATTTCCTTAAGTTCTATTTAACTGGCTATTTTTTCTGCCAAAAAATTGAGTTCTCTCAATACTTATGGAAAATGATATATTATACACCTCAAACTTGTAGTGATCATATGTTATTGCGGATTATTAGGGAGATTAATATTATACAATCATACAAAATTAGATGAAAGAGAATAGCCTTAATAGTCGGGCATATTTTCATTTTAATTGCTATTTGGACATAGAAATAGGTGATGAGAAGAATAGAGTTGAAGAAAATGAAATTATTATTCTAATTAATATAGATCCAAGTATATATCTAAGTCAGGATATGTAATAAGTGCGAGGAATGTAGAACTAAACAAATGGACTTATTCATCTTTCAACATGAAAATGTGATAATTTTTTTGTTCTTACTCTTTTCTTCTTTTCATACAAAACTATTCTTACAGGCACGGCAGTTGAGTTGTTCTTATCACTGCTATAGGTTTGCACCAAAGGGGGTTGTCTACTCCTACAGCCAAACAGAGATGGACTAAGTTAACCATGAACATCAATATGTTGAAAAGCTGAAATCTGACCCACAACATGACAACCTTTGCTCTGCCTTCCATATACCTGTTAAAAAAATCATGCAGTACAGGGTTCCTAGATTGACATAAAACATGATTTCAAAAGTATTCCTTCAATTTTTTGTGGCCCCTGATTCCAATCTAACACTACCACTAGTGCCATTATTTCACAAAATTATAACCTATATGACACTGCAAACTCTCGTGATACAGCAAACACATGCCTGACGGTGAATTCGGTGCGTCTATCATTCTTCTTCCGGTTCTCCCTCTTCTTGGAGAAGATTCTCTCTATTGTCATGGGCCCAGAAACCGCGCACATCTACAAGCATGCTGGCAACAGTTCCACCCTATTTGCAAGCCAATAGATCAGCCAGAGTGATCCGTAGAGGGTCAGATGGTTTCACCATGTCCCAATCTCTTACGTCCTCAATACAAAGCTCATAGTTCCCTCCTTCAATCCATTTCTGGTGTACATCTCTGTTTCAAAGCTCATAGTTCTATATATGCGAGTTTTTTTTACCAAGTGCATGTGATTTTAAATCATATTTCCCAATCTCAAAGTAGTTTTCAACTTATTTCCCAATTTTTTTTTTAAAAAAGTTACAGTAAGGTATTTGAAGTCATGTAACCAAACCACAACTCAAATAAACAACCTGTATTGATAAATATGTTTAAAAGTGGGGAAATTCGTTTAAAAGTCAGCCGACTTTGGTAAAAAAACTTGTACATATGCATTGAGGTTACAAAAACAAATTCAGGGGTAACTAGCTCCCTAGTCTAAAAGCCTTCAACAAGGTTTCCAGACTTAGTAGTTTGGTTCATGTGTCTTGTAATTTGGGACTTGCAGAACTAACTCAAGTAACCACAAGCAAGAAATTACAGAGATTTTCTGTAGGAAGATTGCATCAGTAACACCTCTGCTTGTGGATGTCCCCCCTTCTTTTCTTCCAATATTAGGCTTCACTCTGTTTGGTTGCTAAGAAGGAAAAGAGAATTCCAAAATTCCCATATTCCTTCTCAGCAACCAAATTAAGCATGGACCAGCTACATGAATCATTTTTCACTCTATATGCTCAACTAAGGCCAAGTTTGGGAAGACTAAATAAGTGCACTTTTTGACTTTTTATGAAATATGGGTTGGATTTGGGTTGGGTTTGAAATGATGTGTTAGAGAGGTGATGTGACTTAAATGAGATGATGTGACTTAAATAGGATAGTGACTTTTTAACTTTTTAGATTTTTTAGAAGATGCCAAACTTGGCCTAAATTAAATAAATTCAAATCTTTTTTTTTTTTTTAATTTCCGCATCCCGTGGAAGAATAATTGGAGAAAAATAAGTTATCCCCCTATGATTAAAGTCAAAATAATAAAATGTAGAGTGTTCACCTGAAAAGTGTGTGAATATCAGCTGTTGTGAGGTATCCTCTTCCACGGAGATCAAGACACTGAAACAAATATTGTTTTCTAGGGCCAGAACAAAGTCTAGAAAGCTTTCAAAATCCATCTCCCGAGCATTACCTCCTCCAGTTTTGCCATGACGGACATGCTCATCAAATGCTGTTAGCAAACCAAAGCAAACAATGAACAAAAGCTTAAGAAAACACAATGCAACATAAACAATTTAATCAAAAAATAATACAATAATGGTAACAGGTAAGGAACGTTCCAAGTTAAACCACAGCTGGTGAACTGGTGAAGGGCATTTTTGGGTATGGACAAAATACTGCATTATAATGAAAAATAAGCTTAGAAAATTCTGTAACTGACACCCTCCATCATTAACAAAAGAAATGAGCTTTGAACAAGCAAATCATTTTCTAAAACAGGCAAATGCAAATAATTTCAATAGGCAGCAAAGCAATGGAGTGTGACCAACCACACTCATTATATAAGGGTTGAAAAGGCCATATTTTCAAGCAATTGAAAGAATACAAGATCCACGGCAGAAACTCCTACCCCTCTCAATAAAAATATCTGTCAAAGTCCCATCAACATATTCTCGAAGTTCCTGCTTGCTCAATGTTCCATTCATATCTTTATCGAGTGCAAGAAACATGTCTGCAGAACTAAACTGATTGCTATAAGCTACAACAATAACGATAACAGTAGTCACAAGCTATGTAATGCAACCAGAACTACTTTTTTGAGATTAACAGTAGAAGATAAATGCATAACGAAATACAGCCCCTTGTACATGACAAGAATTGAAATAATATCATTCTACACCTAAACATTCAAGGAGGAATACAGAACTATTTTCCCCTTATAAATCTACAATTATATTTCTTAACACTCTCGAAATGAACTTCAGATGGAGAAATTCAATGCACCCACCACAAATGCGTTGGGCAGACGTCAATGAAAACCAGTTTTCAGCTTGTTCAATGTCGGTGACTTCTTCCTCACTTTCCTGACATAGATAATAGGTAAGAATCCAAAGTCAACTTCTATTCAAGCACATAGAAACAAAATGCATTTTGATACTTCATGCTTCTTACTTCATACATAATTAGGTTTAAAACAAGCTCATGTAAATACTTCGGTCCTCTGCTTCTACCAAATCCAATTTCAAACAAAAATAATTTCAATTGATATTATGTAAAACAAGTTTTATATGGATTAATCCTTGAATTTGATGATGGAAAATTTCCTTCAAATCACCAAGAATTATTTCTACCAATTTTGTTCAGTCTGAAAGAAGCAGGCCAACAACAACAATAGCTGTTTGTATTCACTCTTGCAAGTATAGCATTGATGCAGAAATTTAGAACTTTAAATTCATCATTTCAGCAACCACAAATTTCCAAGTAGAGAAAAGACAAAGATCCACAGTAAACAACCAATTAGGCCTAGCCTAGTTGGCCACCATGCCTTCCTTAGGGCATAATCCCAAGGAGGTCATGGGTTCAATTTCCCTTAGGGGGTTGAATTAAGGGTGTGCAAGCACTTAGGTGCTTTGTCAAGGGTGGAGAGATTTTCTCCCATAGGTGCTAAACTAACAACTAACATTTGTCAATCAAAAAAATAAAAATAAAAATAAAAATAGAACTAAGAGCCTTAAACTCCTTTTGTTTGAAAAGGGAAAAAAACAAAAAGAAAAGAAAATAGTAACTTTTTCTTTGATAAGTAACAACAGTAAAATGAGTAACAGAAGTATATAGGAAAATAGAAACTTAACCACCACAACCACCAATAACATAAGCTTCATATGCCAAAAAAAGGATTAAGAACAATAGATAAACAAACAGCGACTGATGTGAACTTCAACATAAAGACAATAGGGAACATAGCATACAGACTTTATCGTTTTACATGTAGTTGGTGACATTAATATATGGAAATGGTTGTTCTTTTGAAGTCTATAACTAATCAGCCATTGTAGTCTCAAGATGTAATGGGACAGGCAACACTTTCAAAGTTAGAGATTAACACATTTACCAAGGATGACAATAACAACAGCCTTAATGCAACATCTTCCCATTTCAGGGGTCAGTGACAATTAAGGAAACAATCACATTCAAATTACCTGGTGTAGTTCCATTAGTTCCTGGAGACAGTTACTAAGCAGAATCTTCTTTATGCATCCCTTTTCTGCAAAATAAACTAAAATCCTCAAAAAAACCAAAGGTCAAAGAGAAAGCTGAGAATCCCTATGAATGAAGGTATTTAGTTGCTAAGGTTATGTCGACCATTAAAAGGGGTTTGTCAGCAATCAACATCATTTCCCTATCAGTGGATGTTCAGACAAATCGGTTTTTCAATATTTGGATTATTTAACAAATCTGTCACCAATATCTACTCCGCCCTTTAATCCCCTTAGTCCCATTGGTGCAACTGAAAGTGGTATCCAGATATGGTTGCAACCAGCCTGTGCAGCTGCAGAACAAAGAAATATGCAGGATAAAGTCTGTGGTGGTGGTGATGGTTTTTTGAGAAAAGGAGGCATTAAGCAAAAAATAATAATAATAACATCACATGCTGCAGCTACTGTAAAACAACATGCCAACAGTGCCATCATACTAAATAAAAGATGAAAATTTGAGTACAGTTCAATATTTTTATGAAAATGCGAAATAGAAAGTTTGTGATTGTGCTAGCAGTGGTTGAGGAAAGAGGTGACGTTACACATAATATAATAAAACCACATTGGAACATATTGCAGTTAAAGAAAATGACAAGCACCAGACCAATTTCATTTCATTAAATGAAACACTAAAATTAGTGTACATAATGATTTCAATTGAAATCATGCTATAGAAATTCAACTCTTTCTTTTGAATAAGATAAATAAGATTTAGAACATGACAAACCTCGTCTGTGAGAATCACAAAAGAAGAAAAATTTGTGTGCAGCTATGCGGCAGTACGTTTGAATAAAGGTTGCAGGCATGTCCCAAAGTTGTGCCAAATTAGGAATAAGGCCTCGTATATACGCCTCCATTTCCTGCATGCATCAAAATATAGATTGTTCTTTTTACATACAAGATTAAAAAGCATGCAACAAGATTACATTTGAGAGAGAGAGAGAAGCTACT